CTGGCTGGGGAATTCTGGGACTTGAAGTCCACACATCTTCAAGTCGCCAAGGTTGAGAAACGCTGCAGTAGGTTGACAGCGGGAATGAACTATGAGAATTGGCAAGCCATAAAGCCACTGTAGTGAAGATACCAAAAAGGGGGGGTGTTTTTAATCAAGTTGATCAATATGTCACGAGAGATAGTCTTGCTTACCATAAGGGGAAATCCATGCCAATTCGTTTTATTAGACAATTTTTATCCCATTCTGTTCATTCTAAGGACCAGTGCTATGATTCTGAAGGTGAGTGTTCACATAATAAACGCTTTCCTTGTTCTCTGTTTTGATTACTCTAACGTGCTTTATGTCAGGGTGAAAATCTATGTGAACAACTTGATGGCATGTAATCAGTTAATCAACATGCTTTATATTGGCTGCCTCTAAAAGAAGATTCAAAAACTTTGGCTAACTGACATTCAGTCAATCATAAATTCAAGGAGCAGATAATGCTGATTTTGAGAAAATGACCAGCTTCTGCTTAATTTTTGGAGCCAAGTATCAATATAGGGTTATATGGAGTCACTTATACAGTATAACAGTTTTTCCTCTCTTACATCCATCATACTTTAATGACAGATTCATTACATACAGAAATAGCGCTTATCCTGAAAATCAAGAAGCTAGCTGCATTATACTTCTGTTCTTGGGGTTTAAATCATTTATTTTTTGATGCACCAAATTAATGTGCATGCATTTTTAATTTTCAAAGCATCCGGCCGTATCTTGAAGACTGTCAAATTTATGAAGGTAAAAACTTTCTTAGATGAAAGTCAGTTTCATTTGATTTATGAAAATATATTTGCCGTTCCTTTAGGTGTTGTAAACAAGTTAGAATATATGCTGATAACATTTGCCAGCTACTTCTCAGCATCAGAATTTTAGAATCTTATCTGACATTTCAAAAAGTAGCACACTCTTTTACACGCTTTCTGCACACTTAAAAAGAGTGAGATTTATTTCTGACTAATGATGTATAGGAGAGCAAAAATGTAATTTTAAGGTAATTTTGGAATATTCTGCTGTTGAAGCTCCTTAACATGCTCAGAAGTTTTGGGTAGTCCACCAAATAGTTGAGTGGAAGGACAGAAAAAACCACGTTTGCTGTACTGTGGGGTTTTTTTCCTGTTCCTTAACTGTTACTTATTTATTTGTTTGATTTATATAGCTTCACCTTTAATACATGACCCATTGGAAAGGATTTCAGATCATCGAAATCTTCTCCATATTTGGATCTGCCTAGCTACAAGGCATTGTCCCCAACTGTCTAACTCTGAAGCTAAGTAGGGTCAAACCTTGTTAATACTTGGATGGGGATCATCTGGGAAGTCAAAGGCTATAGGCTAGATGGAA